TCTCTTGCAATTTCTTGAGTAATGAAGTTATTTTTGTGCAAAGGTATCCTAGTCCATGACACTACACACTGAGCATGACACACTTTGATTTGATCAGGTAGTGATGGTCGAGGCCCAATACTTGGATCGGTCTAGGACCAAACCTGTGGTGTCTGAATGACTCTACAGAGCCGATGACTCACAAGGAAACCCTTGGCTTGGGGCCAAAGGGGTGGAGCTAACCGAGTACCTCGATCAACCCCTAAAGGAGCTACCATGGCCAACCCATCGAGAAGCTATGAGTCAACTCCAAAGTGACCATGCACCACCAACCTCCCCGGCCATCATGAGAGCTTAGAAGTACCTTGGCCAACCTGACTTGGGAAGGGTCCGAACCACTAAACTTTCATTGCGAAGACAAACACCTCGATCACCTGAAGACCAAGGTTGTGATTTGGACAAACCACTCAATGTAAATTAGGGGTAGAAAGCAAATAACCGAACCGAAATTACAAAAAGTGCTTCACTTCATTATTAAAACAATTTGTATAAGTTTAAAGTCTTGACATCCTCGATCATACAAGATAGAGCAAAAAGAAAGTAAAGAAGTAGTACCATGAAATAGACAAAAGGATGATGAAGAAACCACCTGAGGACTTCGGTAGGTGTTATTGCTCAATTGGAGGACTGTCGGTACACTCCTGGGTGTCCACTTGGTCGGTCACCTCAGTTCCTCGTCTTCCCTCCTTCACTCACTTGGTGGGAACCTCCCAGTCCCAAAGGCCAAACTCCTCCACCACATGATTGATCTTCAGGAATAAGCATGCAACCCTCCTCTTGCAATGAATAAAGCCCATCTGGTAGGAGTTGGTAGCGAAGTCATACAACTCATCCTTATATTTATCAGATGCCTTGAACTCAACCATGGCCTCTCACTTCGCATGGGCCACCCTAGCTTCGGCTTCCTTCGTGAACTTCTTCATTGTCCCTTTCATTTCATGGAAGTGGCTCTTCAACTTCTTCAAATTGTCCTCATTGACCTCTACTGTTTTCTTTGCCTAAGCTAGCTTAGCCTTTAGCACTGCATGGATGGCCAAACTCTCAAACACCCCATTGTATAGATGGAAGTCTCCTTTTGAATCTCAGGAAGTAGTATGACCTAGGTGAGTTGCTTGACTATACCCTTAGTGTGTAGCGTGTCCCAAGGACAAACACTCTAGTTCGACAGATAGATTTTAGTTTCCTCTTCCTTGGCGGTTTCTTCAAGACTCTTTCAGGGAGTCATTTGCGAGCAGCCGTAGGGGCGGGGGAAGGGGAGCACCTGCTTAGCATCCACCATGACCACCTTGTCCCTAGTGGTCCTCGCCCTCTTGGATGGTCAAGGGTGGTTTCCTTTTCTTAATGTTGAGAAGGAGGCACATCTAGCGTCGAAGCAACAACCCTCTTCTTAACCATCGCAGCCTAAAAGTAGCATATGAGCCTCTTCGTCGGCATCCATTTGTACGTCTACACAACACAGAAAGACAATCAGTACTTGGGAAAAACCAAGATAAAAATGACAACAAACTCCTATGGACTAAGGACTGATTTGTTAGGGGCAACATCAACCTAGCTTGGATCAACATAGCAGGTGAGGCGTATTGCTTAATGTGCACCTTTGTTATTTGCTTCAAGGCCACCCTCTCCTCCTTCTTCAACTCAGCCTCTTTCAGAGCCTTCACCATGGTCTTCGAGATGACCAGCTCAGGCTCAAATGGCCATCCATCCTTATGCCTCACAAAGAAAACCCCCTCATTCCATGCTTAACCGAAGAGGGGGCTCTAATGAGCACTTTGAAGTTCGGCCAGGTTGAGAAATAATAATAACCCTAATAGTGCTTATTCAGATGGAGAAAATACTTGAACACATACAAAGTGACCAAGATATCATGGATGGTATAGAAATAGGGGAGGCCGACTAGATACTTAAAGGAGTCTAACATTAGTTGGATGGGTAGGACATGGTGCCACCTTAGCACGGTCATTAGGCCACTATCCAGGGAAACCTCAGCCCCACTATCAAACTCTCTTCATATATGCAAAGGTCGCCTAGTTGAGGTGAATCCACCCTCTAGCCTATCCCCATATACCTCAACCAAAACTCGGTTGGGATGAGGACGAAGACCAACTGAACTCCCAAGGGAGTTCTCACTCAAATGGCTGACTTAAATGACTCACCCCTTGCCTTATATAGAGGCAACCAACAGTCAAGATCAAAACCACCCAACATCCCAGATCTATCCCCATGTTCCACATGCATGTAAGCTTAGGAATACAAAATGACATGACTTTTGGACCATATAATTAACACTTGAATTTCAGATTTTTCATTTAGTTGGGTCTATGATCCTTGACCTGGTTCGACCACACCTCGATTGACCCAACTAAAAAGTTCTAAGTTCCTTATCCGAGCACAATAGGAGCTCATCCATTTCACCTCGACCAAACACCTATCTCGACTTCAGAACTAGGGGACTAGTGTTAGGGTCGTACCTTGGTCGGTTAAGTTGCTATATGGTTGTTGATGTGTCCTGATGTCAATCGCCGTCTTCAACCATATCAACCAAATAGCTTGTCACACGCCACAATGGCTCTACGCTAATGATAAGCGTCCACACCAAAGATTGTAGGATTGCCCGAAGTCCTCAATGGCTAGTCTCCTCATTTGAGCATTGGACATCCCTGCAAAGAACGTGACCGAGTACACCATGACACTTTACTATTTAAAGGCACTCCCATCAAGGTATCACTCTCCCTTGAATCCTTGGACTCTCTAGCTTCCTTTCTGCTTACCTACTCTTCTCAACCTTGCTCGGCCTGACCGAACTCTTCACCCCTTATTGACTTGAGCGTTGGAGTGCTTGCCCAGGGGCCTCCTCCTCAAGACCTCTAATTGTTTGGTTGGAGGTTCTACTTGATGCACCACCTCATCCTTCCACCTTAACTCATCCTAGTTGGTAGCACCTTATATGCTACTCGTCCACCTCAGTTTGGACAACATCAACATGTGTATTATGTTTACATGTTTGATTATACAATGTAAAGCAAGTTTAGTCTACTTTACACCTCCACTTAAGTCTAAATTGAGTTATAGGTTAAGGTGGTGTTTGATAAATCTGAAAGTTCATATATGAAAAAAGTTAAAAAGATATTAAATGTGTTTGAAATCTGAAAAGAGGCATAGTTGCTTTTCTACTTTTTAGAGGATTAGAATCCATAAGTTTGTTTGTATTGGATCAACCCTTTACCATCTGAAATTTATTGATTTTACTATTTTACCCCTAAAACATACAACTTGGAAATGTTGAATTAAATTTACATTATCTAAAAAAAAATAATTTTCAACCTCAAAATAATATTGAAACAATACAAATAAAAAATAAAAAAATTAATAATTACTAATTAATAAATGAAATGATTAAAATTAAAAAATAATTAATGATTATAAAAATATTAAAATAATTAATAATTTACATAAATAAAAATTAAAATAATTTTTAAAAATTAATGAAATAATTACAAATTTTGAGTTAATAAAAATAATTAATAAAAGCATTATTATTATTCACCGAAATATCGAACTACCACTGTTGCTTGTTGTAGTGGCGGCGGTGGTGGTGGGAAGACAAGGGAGGGAGAGAGAGAAGACAGCGACGGTGGTGGGAAGACATGGAGAGAGAGAGAGAGAGAGAGAGCGAGAGAAGACAGGGGGAGAGAGAGAACCGACTCTACAACTTGCAATGGCGGTGGTGGGAAGACAGGGCAGAGAGAGAGAGAGAGAGAAGACAAGGGGAGAGAGAGACTACAGCAGCGGTGGCAAGAAGATAGTGCGAAGAGAGAGCGAGAGAGAACAACAGAGAGAGAAGACAAGGGAGAGAGAGAGCCACAACGGCGGTGGCAGGAAGACAGGGCAGAGAGAGAGAGACCAGAGAGAGGGAGAAAGAAAGTCAGAGAGAAAGAGAGGTCGAATGTTTTCTAGGTTTGGGGGTATCAGGGGTAACTTAGGTCATTTACGAAAAATTGTAAGGATATCTTGGACATTGGGCGGCTCTGAAACACATTAAGAGCTGGCCCAAGGTCTATGATTTTCCAATCTAAAAATCAGTTTCAGACCTAGTTTAAGAGGTACAATCAAACAAGGAATGAGGTCTGAAAAATAGCATTTTTAGATTCAGATCTCTAAAAAGTGCAATCAAACGATACCTAAGTCTTTGTTTTCTAATCCAGACCTAATGTACAAAAACCCAAATTAGGCTCGCCCAAATAAGAATGGAAATGGGGTGGGTTTGGAGTGGGGGATCATACTCCCCATTCCTACCCTTGACTTTAAGTAAGTCCCCATCTCCGACCCCTAATCCCCATTGGGAGAAAAGTTAACCTCTATCTGCTATCTTCCATTGGAGACATGAATCCCGAGTGTTTTCAATTAAATTTTTTTTTTTGAAAAAAATTACTTCAAATAAAAAAATTTAAAATATAAATAATATTTATATATATATACATATAATATTAAATATAAATAACATTTAATAATATAATCAGCGGGCCGACACTTCACTCACCATTCCGGCCAAGGCACTCTCCACCTCTGACCAGCGGGGATGGGGAGAATCGCCATCCCTACGTCCAAATAACCGCCGTAGGTCTGGTACGCCCTAATTTTCTCTTGCTACTCCCCCCTCTTCCTTTCGACCAAAATCCTCACGCACGTTTACACGTGTCCAGCGTATTCCGGTCTTGATCATCTGGCCAAGACAAACAGAACAAAACACATATTAGAACCGACTTTCTACATCCTTGGCCGAAGTAATGTTGTTCTCGCGTCCAAACAACTTAACGACACTAAGCAACCCCACTAATCTACCATTTTCCAGAACGAACTTTCAGTAAATCCCGTTGCCTTACAAGGGTATTATAGAATCTACGAAATTAATTTGGATTTTCCATTCCATACTTTTTTTTTTCTTATTAAAATATTCTCTCTCTTCCCCGGCTCCGTGCTTTTCTTCCCTCTATAAAGTATAAACACGATACTCTCAAGCTTCTCTCTCCTATGTAGGATTTCTCACTCCCCGATCGGATCAGCAAATAGAACTGTTTTCCGAAAACCCTAACTTTTTTTACTGAAAATTCCTCTGTTTCTCGTTCATCTCAACCTTTCCTCGTGTCTTTCAATCACTCGCACAAGGATCGTATATTTTTTCCCCGCTGGGAAAGACCTACTTTATTTTGACATCTCGTTACCTCTTTGATCGGAGTTACAATTATTGTTGGTTCACCGTGAGGAATTGACCACCCTTTCATCGCGTCTCCTATTTCGGCAATGATCTCCGCCGGTTAATTCAAGATGAAGCTGAAGAGGAGGAGGGTTTTGGAAGTGGTATGTAGTATTGCCAATACTAGTTATTCTCTCTCTCTCTCTCTCTCTCTCAAGGTTTTCATTAAAGCAGTATTTAATTGGAACGAAATATTTTGTTAGGGCTTTAGTTGTTGGTATTAATTGCTTGCCTTGTTTTTGTTCCTAGCATCCACATTTTATGGCTTTGCTTGATTACGAAGCGAATTGATTGCCCTTTTTATCTATTTTTTTATAAATTCGGTCTGCTTTTGTAAATAAAAAATTGTTTCGCGTTACTAGGTGTTTTCCTAATGCATGCAATCGTATTTTTTTATACTTTTATTTTTGAGTTGTTGATTGAAAACGGGAATTTATATGCTGCAAAAACTGTTTTGTTACTAACGTCGGGTCTGTTCATGATTGATTTTTTTGAACTTAAATTTTAGATTTGTTTTTTCTTAAAAAGTGGCAACTTCCAATGTTGATATCTAAGTAGTATTGGTTGCAGTAATTATAAAGATAAATATTTTTGATTGCATGACAATAATGAGAAGGGTTCAATCATTGAATTGTTGAAATTGGAATCTTCTGAAAACTTTGTGTTTACTTATTCTTCCCCAATCACCAATAAAAGGGAAATAAAAAGAAAAAAAAAGAAAACTGCACTGAATCATTTCTATCTCCTCAGTCGTATATATTGACTACTTGGGACATTTCTAAGGCATACTTCGAACTTAGAAAGTTGAATTCTTGTGAGCACATACCAGGCTTGGTGGGACGCAGGTCTTTTATTTGGAACGGCACATAATGAATTTTATCCTTCATTTTGCAATAACTAAGTCAATTAACGAACATGGTATTGCCCATCATCAATATAAAAAATGAACAGCATGATAACTAATAAAAAGCACGATAAAGATAAAAGGTTCAGTTGCAAACTACAAGCTACCATGGATTCCATCTATGCATGTATGTATAAAACACTTATTGGCCGTGGAATTAGTTTATTCTGGTCTAAGCATGGCACTCCTTCCATATTGAATGGATTTTCTTCTTTAAGTAGAAGGTATGTGAATGCCTTAGGCCATTTTATAGCCAAACTATGTTACTTAGTGGGATTTTTTTATTCTTGTTTTGATTGGTAACCGGTAAGTGATCTTTTATCAATTGAAAAGAAATGTGTAGACAGAAATGAACTTCCACTCAAGGGAGAAAGGTTGAGCCAGAAGGTCCATCAAATTATAAAATCATATCAGTACCCATACTCTACGCCAGAGGGGCTTGACTGCTACAAAGAATCCTTATGTACCCCTTCTTATTCTAGATAGGAAACTAGACCATTTGCTGATCTTCTTTCCCATCTGAACAATGTGTTCATCTTAGGGGCAACAGATCTCCCCTCCATAATCAAGTGTTTTTGTTTCCATGGGCTTTCCTTGCTTCTCAACATCCACCTTATCATAATATCATCATTTGATAGTCCTCTTTCATCTAAAGGTTCAGGTATCCCAAGAGAAGCCCAATACTTGGTATTTAGTATACATGTATTTGTGATTTTTTGACTAAAAAATATATTATGTCCAGTTATTCAAATATACTGAAAAGCTTATGATTGTATTTTTATATGCTTTTATAGTATAAAAATATAATTATATTTGTATATATTGATGTTTTAATAGTTTATAATATATTTACACGTAAAATATGCTGGATTTTTCATTCTGTATATTTCAAAAGATGGTGCATTAAACATGTATTGATTTTTAAACTATTTTTATAACATACTACATATGGTTGACTGTTTTTTTTTTATCATATTTTCATTTTGAAATTGAGTTGTATGTGGACTTTTTCATATTGTATTTTTATTGTATATGCATTTTACTATGGCTTAACCTGATTTGTCACAGTGATAATATTCATGCTTGTACTGAACTCCCATATCCCTATAGTGTTGCATGGACTCTTTTAAATGGATGAAATGCCCATGTTGGACATGCATTGAATTTTGACACCATAAATTCTTGAGTGACAGTTCATGTAACATTTTCCTCTCGCCTTGCTTATATGACACAAGTTAACAGCTAGTGTACAGAATGAATGCCATTTTTTCTTATAAAACATTATTAAATAACGAAGGTGAACTTTTAGATATTTATCTTATAAAGCGTTTAAGTAGCAAAGAGAAACTTTTAGACCTATTCTTATAGGTAGGTATTTGATGTTAGAATTGAGAAAAATTTGGGCTGCATTACAATATTTATGGCTCCTTTAATTTGAAATTTGGTATTCTATGATGCCCTTTTACACTCTCTTACTTTATTTATACAATATGATACTACACCTTTTTTTTTGAAGAGTAAAAATAAAATTTTATTAAAGAAAAAGAAACAACAGTACAGGCTAAGCAAGGTGTTAAGATAACATCCAACCATTCAAAAGAAATGACCAACATCCAACAGACAGACGCGAAGCAGAAAAAGAAAAACACAGCCTACAAGATTATAGCTTTCTTAATCATCTCCTTCAAACAGTTCTTCATTCCCATCACCTTCGTCGTTCCACGCCTCACTTCCTTCCCCTGCTACAGAATTCTTCAGCTTCTCTTCCCTTTTACTTCCTTTGGATTCTTCAAAGGCCCTTCTAGAAAACTCCTCTCCACCCCAAAAGAACAATCCCAAGCTCCTGCTGACTTTAACACTCCTGTCCACCAAATCCTCAATCCTCGCTTTGCCTTCCTTCTCCTCGCAAGCTGACTGAGGCTTCTCAAAGTTCTTCTCTAGGTCTTGACTTGAGTACCCTCCTCCTGCTTATCCTCTGATCCAGGCCACCTTTCCAAATTATGAGATTCTTCTCCTTGCTCCTCTAGCACCTTTTTTTTATCAATAACAGTAAAACTTTATTAATGATGTGAAAATTTAAGAAGATTTAGATACAACAGGGGAGGTAAAAAGACTTAACTCCCCTACAACAGAATACAAAGACAGAAGTTCAAAACTTAGCCCAGAAAATAGCCTCCCTATTCACCCCCTGCTTGGCCAGCCCATCTGCAAGTGAGTTAGCAGACCTCTTCACCCAGCTATAGTGTATCTCAATGTCTTGCTCCTCTAGCACCTTCTTCTTCAAGACTTTGGTTTTTTATCCCTTTTCTTATAAACTCTCTTGTATTTATTAGTTGGACCAGCCCCTATCAAACCATCCTTTAACCTTAAAAAACTTTTTAAACATGAACAATATGGGATGAGTCTCTCGCTATCTTAACTGTCTCTGTAACAGCTGCACCTTCCTTACTCGCTACTTTTCTTTTTTGGCCTAGCAGTCTAGATCAACTCCAAGCCGGCCAACTGTGACTTCAAAATTTGAGTATTCCTTGCCTCCTTCAAAGAGATATCCTCCCCTTCTTTTCCAACTTCCTTACACCTAAAATTATTACACCTTACATGTGGAAGCACCACTCCTTATAACCTTGGCGTCATCTACACCCGCCTATGCATTGTCTTGACAACTATGGTTAAGTATCAAGTGGCACAAGTGGTTCCAATTGTATTTCCTATTCTTCCTTTTTCATTCTACTAAATGGTTTAGTTGAAGGTCACTTTTGAGGTGGCGAAGACCTCCATCAAGAGGATCCATTTCTTCTTTCATCTTTATTATTGTTGTGGAAGCTTTGAGTCAGCTAGTTACGAAAGCAGAGGAGGTTGAGCTGATTGATGGATTTGATGCTAGTTCTGGAACCCCTGAGATATCTTAATTGCAGTTTGCTGATAACTCCATTTTCTTGTTGGTGCCAAACATGAAAGACTAAGGTTCCTTGGATGCAATTTTCTCTGCTTTGAGGTTTGAAGCAGTTTTTTGGGTTATGTATCACTATCAACCTATTGAAAAGTAACATATATGCAATATACGTTGGTGCCAAACATGAAAGACTAAGGTTCCTTGGATGCAATTTTCTCTGCTTTGAGGTTTGAAGCAGTTTTTTGGGTTATGTATCACTATCAACCTATTGAAAAGTAACATATATGCAATAGGAGGTATGGAGAATTCAGAATAGCTGGCTAGTGCCCTTGGATGTGCTTAACGTATATGCAATAGGAGGTATGGAGAATTCAGAATAGCTGGCTAGTGCCCTTGGATGTGCTTTTGGCAACATCATGTGAGAAGCAAGATGTTGAACAATCACTTTGTTCTTTACTCTTCTTTCCTAGAGTCAGTAAACCACTTCCTCATTCATTGTAATTTCTCCTTTCTTTTGTGGTGTCTGTTCATCATGATTTTTGATGACAATAGGTCCTCTTCATGACCTTTTCAAGCTTGGCCAGCTAATGGATATAACAAAGAGGGCTAATGTTATGGAATTTCATTCCTTTTGCTTTATGCTGGTATATTTGGAAAGAAGGGAGCAAAATGACTTCTGTTGGGAATCCTTGTCAAGTTCAGACAATAATTGGGCTCACTGGCTGTCAAATTTGGGGATTTTGAAGGGCCCTCTTTCTCTCATTTTTGTAATAGATGGAATGCCATTATCTCTGACTAGGGGAAGGTGATGCACAGAGTATTATTTCTCCCTTTTTCTATAGTCTATCCTGTCGCTTTCTTTTCCTATTTTAATAAAATCTTTCTTTAATTATTAAAAAAGCGGTAAAAACATACATGCCTAGTATTGCCAACAACTTGCTGTCAGTCCTTTTACAACAACTTGGAACTCCACAGGAAAGTTTTCCTCTCAGTCCTTTTACAACAACTTGCTGTTGTGTGAGGATACTGACTTCCTTGGGCCCTGATCTGGAATTCTCATGCCCCTTCCAAGGTTTCTTTCTTGGTTTGGACTGCAGTTTTGGGTAAATGTCTAACCACTGATTGGCTTATCAGAAGGGGGATGCTTCTTTCAAACATCCTATGCCCCCTGTGCAACGGACCTGAATCCTCCAATCATCTTTTCATCCATTGCAGTTTCTCTTCCCAGCTGTGGGAAATGGCTTTTTCCTGCTTTGGAGTTCAGTCTTGCTTACCTGAATCAGCTCTTCATCTTTTGCAAGGATGGTCTCTCAAGGGTTTGAACACTAGAGGCAAATTGCTTTGGAGGGTCTTCCCTTCTGCCATCCTATGAGCCCTTTGGAAGGAAAGGAACAGTTGAATCTTTGACAACATTTTTTCCTGATGTAATTTCAGTAAAAAACAAGGTTATAGGCTTTTTGTGTTCTTGGTTAAGTGTACGCAGGGCATTCAGGGGTGTCTAGCTTTTCTCTTTTTTGCAAGCTGGACCTTTCTTTTGTTGACACATTTTTGTATATTCCCATTGTACAGGCTCTCATTGTACATGGGATGTTATTTATGTTCTTCCTCGTACTTTAATACAATTCACTACTTTACATGTTTCAAAAAAAAGTATTGCCAACAATGGACCATGTGGTGATAATAATCATTGTACTTCAAACAGAGAGAATCCTAGGATTCAACAGTCCTAATATTAATGGCACTACCAAGAACAAAAAGAAAAAAGAACTGAGAGAATATAATATTAGAAGAGAGGGAGATCATGAAATATAGATCGGTTAGGCTATGATACCATGTTAAAATGCAAAACTTACGATGGGAGACGAAGAAGAGAGAATTATAGAATCAATTCAGCCACACTGCTGGTGGATCTTCCTTTATCTTTTTTGTTAGCAGGTCATAGTACAGGTTTGCCTCTCATTTGTTGTCCCACTAGGTTATAGGTACCTAATAAAATATACAATTAACTGATCTTTCTAGTCTCTTGTTCTCACCCCCCCCCCCCCTGGCTCCACATGCCTTCTTTTCTTTTTAGTTTGCCTTGTTGAATTGATGACTCCAGTGTCAGCTTAATCTTTAATTATCTTTTTTTTTTGGGTAATAATGTTTTACAATATGCCTATTATAAGTGGAACTTGATAAGAGGTCATTTTTTTGAAAGGTAAGTTAAGTGATTGTATTGCAAAAAGAATGAGGAAGCCCTTATGTTTACAAAGATGGCCCCAATGAGAACAGAGGGGGACCTCCAGTGGTTAAATCTTGGGCTGCAATCACGAGAGTGGATTCAAGTTGGAGGGCATCCACTTCATGCAAAAAAGTTGGAGGTTATGAAGTACAACTTTGATAGTTGTCCTTTGGGGTATTCAGGGATAGGTGGTGTTTTCTGAAGTAATGAAGGATCTGTTCTTTGAATAAGCTTGTTCAAGTGGGTATGGGCTCATCATGTCCACTTGCTCATAGGGCTTGGAAGGTCTGATTTGGTATGGGCTCATCATGTCCACTTGTCCAGGGTTGCACCAATAAGTGTAACTTTCTGTTATATGATTTTTATTTCTGATTCTATGCTCAACTATATGCTGTTTGTACTTGTTATTGTTCCCTTCTGTTAACTTTTAATAGCAGTATATTTATGTGAATTGGTGCAATTAGAAGGCTCTGAAAGAGGAAGGAAGACCAAAGAAGACGTAGTCTAAAGTGGTGAAAAATGGTTTAAGGACTTATAAGTTGTATTTGACCAAAATCATGGTTCTTGATAGAGCAAAATGGCTGGACAAGCTTTGTTAGCCAGTTTGGGCTGAGTATGCATGTATGTGAGGGACTATTGCTTGGTGCAAACATTAAAACCCAGGCTTAGAGTTCAAGTTTGTAAGTGGTCACTACGTGCAAAAAATCCTAAGGTTGGGTCCATGTCCAGTCCACCTCCACAAGTAGGGGTGTCAATTGACCGGTTTTGGATTGGATCCAATCTGATCCAAACCTTATCAAATTGGATTTGGATGGACGGTCCATTATATTTATTGGATTGGGCCAATCCAAAATAAATTGGTCCATGTTCTTATTGGTCTGAATTGGACCTAAACCAAAATTTCAATAATTCGATCATGAGGCCAAACCCTTGTCCAATATGAAATCAACCAAAACTGAAGCTGGCATAAAATCACTTTTATGAAAGTACTTTTAGAAAAGCGCTTTTATAAAAGTACTTTTATGAAACCACTTTTGTAAAAGTACTTTTACACGAAAGCACTTCTATGAAATCACTTTTACAAAAGAACTTTTACGGAAGTACTTCTATAAAAGCACTTTTATGGAAGTACTTTTGTGGAAGTACTTTTATAAAACACTTTTATGGAAGTACTTCTATATAAGCACTTTACTGAAAGCACTTTTATGAAAGAACTTTTACGAAAACACTTTTATGGAAGTACTATATAAGCACTTTTATGAAAGAACTTGTACGAAAGCACTTTTACGAAAGTACTTTTATAAAAGCACTTTTACGACAGTACTTTTATGAAAGTACTTTTAAAAGTATTCTTACGAAAGCACTTTTACAAAAGTGTTCTTTCAATGCCAAAATGGTATATTTTTTTAATTTTCAGATTTTCTTCATTTTAACATATTTTTTGTATTTTTTTTATATATTCTGTTTTTTATATAATTTTTGATATTTTCATTTGGTTTGGATTGGATCCAATCCAGTCCATTTACATTTTAAAGGATTGGATTGGCTTTGGACTGGATTGGGTCCAATCCATTTTAAGTGGACTCACATTGGACTGGATCGGGTTGGACCAATTCCAGTCCAATTGACACCTCTACCCACAAGACCCTGGATAATCAGGACCAACAATGGGTGATGGGCCCACATATATGCATGTAATTCCAGTGTACACTGTTATGGACAAGTTTGGATGCACATGCACATGCTGTGTTAAAATGTGCTTCTTTTCCAGTTAGTGTTGCAAGAGCTATCAAATTCATTTGTTTTTTTATGACTGTTTTGTAATTTATGATAAGGTTAGTGTCATTATATAATTTCTAGTGTTGGCTTAATCTTGTGAGCAATTGTATCATGCATGCTAGCAAGCTTGTGAGTTCTTTTTCTTAATACTTAACTAATTGCTATTCAGGGATTTGCAATCATTAGGAGTACAATAACTTTTTTGCTTTTTCTTTGTTGTCAGCCTCCAAAAATTAGATCCTTCATCAACAGTGTTACTGCTGTTCCGCTTGAGAATATAGAAGAAGCTTTAAAGGGTTTTGTTTGGGAGTTTGATAAGGTGTGTTTTGATTGATCTTCACTCAATGCAATTTTGTGGCTACTGACACACGGTTTGTATGACAATATTTTTTCCTTGATACAGGGAGATTTTCATCACTGGGTTGATCTCTTTAATCATTTTGATTCATTCTTTGAGAAGCACATAAAATCAAGGAAGGATTTGCAATTGGATGATAACTTTTTAGCTTCTGATCCACCTTTCCCAAGAGAGGCTGTTCTTCAGGTTCTTCGTGTCATAAGGATCATCTTGGAGAATTGCACAAACAAGCACTTCTATAGTTCTTATGAGGTATGTCTCATTAGCTAAGGACTTTGTCTTCATTTTGTTGTTTAAACGTGTCAATTGCTTCTTTAGATAACCAGATATTTTCTGGATCTTTATAAATTGTACAAGTTGCTTAATTTTACAAACCCAGTTGATACGTTTCATTTATTCTCCAATTTGGTCTTATTTCTCTATTCTTACTTTTTATTCTTCTGCTAATGCAGCAGCACCTTTCAACCCTTCTTGCTTCCACTGATGCAGACGTGGTTGAGGCCAGCTTACAGACTCTGGCTGCATTCTTGAAGAAAACAATTGGGAAATGCTTGATACGAGATGCTTCTTTGAGCTCAAAGTTATTTGCTTTTTCACAGGGTTGGGGGGGCAAGGAGGAAGGCCTTGGGTTAATTGCATGTTCTGTACAGGATGGGTGTGACTCTGTTGCTTTTCAGTTGGGTTCCACCCTTCATTTTGAGTTTTATGCAGTCAATAATTCACTAAACGAGCCAACAAGTGCAGACCCACAGGGTTTGCAAGTCATTCATTTGTCAAATATTAATGGATATGCAAAGAATGATCTTGAGCTTCTTAATGAATTGGTGACAGAGTACAAAGTACCATCTAGTTTAAGATTTTCCCTTTTGACGCGATTGCGATTTGCAAGGGCTTTGAGCTCCTTGACTTCTCGCCAGCAGTATACATGTATTCGCCTATATGCCTTTGTTGTTCTTGTTCAGGCCAGCAATGATGCTGATGATTTGACTGCTTTTTTTAACAATGAGCCAGAGTTTGTCAATGAACTAGTTTCGTTGTTAAGTTATGAAGATGCTGTACCAGAAAAGATACGTATTCTGGGTATTCTATCATTGGTTGCTCTATGTCAGGATCGATCCCGTCAGCCAACTGTCCTGACTGCTGTGACATCTGGTGGAAACCGTGGAATCCTACCCAGTCTGATGCAGAAGGCAATTGATTCTATTTCCAATGATTCATCAAAGTGGTCTGTTGTTTTTGCGGAGGCTCTCTTGTCTCTTGTTACTGTTTTAGTCTCATCCTCTTCTGGTTGCTCAGCTCTAAGGGAAGCGGGTTTTATACCCACCCTTCTTCCTCTTCTTAAAGATACAGATCCCCAACATCTACACTTGGTCAGCACTGCGGTTCATGTTTTGGAAGCTTTTATGGACTACAGTAATCCAGCTGCTGCACTATTCAGAGATTTGGGAGGTTTAGATGATACTATTGCACGCTTGAAGGTAGAAGTTTCCTATGTAGAGAAGGGTTCAAAAAAGCATGATGAAGATTCTCAATGTGGTAAGAAAGGAAAACAAGTGGTCCTTGATACTTCTAGTGATTTAGATAACATGCAGCCTCTTTATTCTGAAGCATTGGTTGCTTATCACCGTCGATTGCTTATGAAAGCTTTATTACGTGCTATCTCACTTGGAACATATGCCCCTGGAACCACTGCTCGTGTTTATGGCTCGGAGGAGAGTTTGTTGCCACATTGCTTGTGTATTATTTTCAGAAGAGCAAAAGATTTTGGTGGTGGAGTGTTTTCACTTGCAGCAACTGTTATGAGTGATCTCATTCACAAAGATCCCACTTGTTTTCCTGTTTTAGATGAAGCTGAGCTGCCTTCTGCCTTCCTTGATGCTATAATGGGTGGTGTTCTTTGCTCTGCTGAAGCAGTGACTTGTATACCACAGTGTTTAGATGCCTTGTGCCTGAACAACAATGGCCTCCAGGCTGTTAAGGATCGTAATGCTTTGAGGTGCTTTGTGAAAATATTTACTTCCCGAACATATCTACGTGCCCTTACTGGTGATACTCCAGGGTCTTTGTCTACTGGATTGGATGAACTAATGCGCCATGCTTCCTCATTGCGTGGACCTGGAGTGGAGATGTTGATTGAGATATTGAATGTAATTTCCAAGATTGGATCTGGGGTGGAAACATCTTGCTCATCCAATGATTCATTGTTCTCTTCTGCTGCTGTTCCCATGGAGACTGATACGGAAGAAAGGATAGTACCATCAGATGATGGTGAACCATCCAAGATGGAAAGTTCTGAACAGATGGCAGAACTGTCTTCTGAGGGTTCACTTGTCAATATCGAATTATTTCTTCCTGAATGTGTTAGCAATGTTGCCCGTCTTCTAGAAACAATACTTCAGAATGCTGACACATGTCGTATATTTATTGAGAAGAAAGGAGTTGAGGCTGTCTTACAGTTGTTCACTCTTCCCTTAATGCCTCTTTCTGTATCAGTTGGTCAGAATATATCTATTGCTTTTAAAAACTTCTCACCTCAGAATTCTGCTGCTCTGGCTCGGGCAGCATGTTCATTCTTGAGAGAACATCTGAAACTAACAAATGAATTATTAACAACAGTTGGAGGGAGTCAGCTCACTGAGCTGGAAGCTGCAACACAAACAAAGGTCTTGAGATGTCTTTCTAGTCTTGAAGGAATTCTCTTGCTTTCCAATTTTTTATTGAAGTCGACCACTACCATGGTATCTGAATTAGGCTCTGCCGATGCTGATGTATTAAAGGATCTTGGGAGAGTGTACAAGGAAATAGTTTGGCATATATCTTTGTGTAGTGATGTCAAGGTGGATGAGAAGCGGGATGGTGATCAGGAAATTGGAACCACAGATGCAGCAATATCTAATGCTGCAGGTAGGGAGAGTGATGATGATGCAAACCTTGTTCCAGCAGTAAGATACATGAATCCCGTCTCAGTAAGGAATGCTTCTCAATCCCACTGGAGTGGAGAGCAGGAGTTCCTGTCAGTGGTCCGCTCTAGTGAGGGTTTACATCGTCATAGTCGACATGGATCGACACGGTTGCGGGGTGGACGGACGGGTCGGCAGCTGGAGGCTTCACAAACTGATTCAGAAGGTTCTGCAAGTTTACAGAATACTTCTGCTACCCAAGATGTTAAAAAGAAAAGTCCTGATGTTCTTGTTTTGGAAAATCTGAATAAGCTTGCTTTTGCTGTGCGTTCTTTCTGTGCAACTCTTGTAAAGGGATTTACATCTCCAAGTCGTCGTAGAGCTGAATCGGGGTTAATGAATTCAGCTTCTAAGAACCTTGCAACTGCCCTGTCCAAAGTCTTTCATGAGGCTCTCAGTTTCCCAGGGCATTCTACATCTGCTGGGCTTGAAATGTCATTGTCTGTGAAATGTCGGTATTTAGGAAAGGTTGTGGATGACATGGTAGCACTTACTTTTGATAGCAGACGTCGTGCATGCAATACGGCATTGGTAAACAATTTCTATGTCCATGGTACTTTCAGAGAACTTCTAACCACGTTTGAGGCTACAAGTCAGTTGCTTTGGACACTCCCATACTCCGCTCCTGCATCTGGTGTTGATCCAGAAAATGCCCTTGAGGGGGGCAAGTTATCTCACAGCTTGTGGTTACTTGATACATTGCAGAGCTATTGTCGCATGCTTGAATATTTTGTTAATTCTGCATTGCTCTTGTCTCCCAACTCTGCATCCCAAGCACAGCTTCTTGTTCAACCTGTTGCAGCTGGGTTATCTATTGGGCTGTTCCCTGTTCCAAGGGAGCCGGAAGTTTTTGTTCGTATGCTGCAATCTCAGGTTCTGGATGTGATACTTCCTGTATGGAACCATCCCATGTTTCCTAATTGCAGCCCAGCTTTCATCATTTCTATGGTTTCACTTGTCACTCATATATATTCTGGTGTTGGAGATGTGAAGAGGGGTCGCAATGGTATTGCAGTAAGCACAACCCAACGGTTCATCGGCCCTCCTCCTGATGAAGCTACCATTGCTACAATAGTTGAGATGGGTTTTACCAGAGCAAGAGCAGAGGAAGCACTGAGACGGGTGGAAACAAATAGTGTTGAGATGGCCATGGAGTGGTTGTTCAGTCATGTTGAAGATCCTGTCCAGGAAGATGATGAGCTAGCTCGAGCACTTGCATTGTCATTGGGCAATTCATCGGAAACCTCTAAAGAAGACAGCACTGATAAATCTAGAGATCTGTTGACAGAAGAAATGGTGACAGAGACACCTCCTGTTGATGATATCCTTGCTGCATCTATGAAGCTGTTTCAAAGCAGTGATTCAATGGCCTTCCCTTTGACAGATTTGCTTGTTGCTCTTTGCAATAGGAATAAAGGAGAAGATCGTCCAAAGGTGGCTTCTTATCTTATTCAACAACTAAAGCTTTATGCATCAGATTATTTGAAGGATACTAGTGCATTGTGTACCATATCACATATTTTGGCATTGCTTCTTTGTGAAGATAGCAGTACAAGGGAAATTGCTGCGGAGAATGGTATTGTATCTGCTGCCTTGGATATCTTGACAAATTTCACCATGAGAAATGAGTTGGAAGGGGTTTTTATCCCAAAATGTGTAAGTGCCCTACTGCTTATCCTAGATAACATGTTGCTGTCTAAACCCAGAGTTCCCCCTGAAGGTACTGATGGAATTCTTGCGGGATCTTCAATGGATTCTTCTGGAGAGCATGCTTCCTTCTCAATTCCAGCATCAGCTACAGAGAAGAAATCTGCTAGAGATGCCCAAGAGATAGCATCTGGAAATGCATTTGAGAAGATTTTAGGCAAATCGACTGGTTACCTGAGTCTTGAGGAGTGCCATAGAGCACTGGCAGTTGCTTGCAAGTTTATAAAACAGCAGGTTCCAGCTGTGGTCATGCAAGCTGTTCTACAGTTGTGTGCCCGCTTGACCAAGGCTCATCCTATAGCTATGCAGTTCCTTGAAAGTGGAGGCTTGACTGCACTTTTTAGTCTTCCACGAAGTTGTTTCTTCCCCGGATATGACAGTGTGGCATCTGCTATTATTAGGCATCTTCTTGAAGATCCACAAACCCTACAAACAGCTATGGAGTTGGAGATACGTCAAACCCTAAGTGGCATCCTCAGCAGGCATGCTGGCCGGCTTTCACCTAGGACATTTTTGACATCCATGGCACCCGTTATAACTAGAGATCCTGTAATCTTCATGAGAGCTGCAGCTGCAGTTTGTCAATTGGATTCTTCAGGTGGAAGGACTAATGTTGTGTTATTAAAGGAAAAAGACAAGGAAAAGGAAAAGTCAAAAGCATCTGGTGCTGAAAGTGGAATATCCTCTAATGAGTGTGTCCGAATGTCTGAAAATAAGCTACATGATGGATCAGGGAAATATTCCAAGGGCCACAAAAGGATACCTGCAAACCTTACTCAAGTAATTGACCAGCTTCTTGAAATCATAATGAGCTACCCATCCCCCAAAAAACAGGAAGAGTTTACTAGCACTTCTGTGCCTATGGAGGTGGACGAGCCTGTTATGAAGGAAAAGGGTAAGTCAAAGGTTGATGAGATGAAGAAAGTGGACTCTGACTGCCTCTCTGAAAGATCTGCTGTGCTAGCCAAGGTGACCTTTGTACTCAAATTGATGAGTGATATTCTTCTCATGTATGTTCATGCAGTTGGAGTTATTTTGAAACGAGATCTGGAAACTAGTCAACCACGGGTGTCCAGTCAACTAGATGGATGTGGACATGGTGGGATACTAAACCATATTTTGCACCGCCTTCTTCCACTATCTTCAGATAAAACTACTGAAGCAACTGATGAATGGAGAGATAAATTATCTGAAAAGGCTTCATGGTTTCTTATAGTGCTTTGTGGTCGTTCTGCTGAAGGCCGAAGACGAGTGATTGCAGAAATTGTGAGAGCCTTGTCTTCTTTCTCAAACTTGGAGAGTGGTTGTTCTAAGAATATTTTATTGCCAAATAAAGAGGTTGTAGCTTTTGCTGATTTGGTCAATTCCATTTTGTCAAAAAATTCATCTTCCAGTAACTTACCTGGTCCTGGTTGCTCACCAGACATAGCAAAGACCATGATAGATGTGGGGATGGTTCAGTCTCTCACTAGCATTCTTCAGGTGATTGATTTGGATCATCCTGATTCTCCAAAAGTTGTGAATCTTATACTAAAGGCATTGGAGAGCTTAACTAGGGTGGCTAATGCTAGTGAGCAAGTATTCAAGTCGGATGGGACAAACAAGAAAAAATCTACAGGTGCAAATGGTCGAATTGAAGATCAGACAACCACATTTTTGTCTAGTGAAGCTGTGGAGCATGGTAGGAATGGGGACATTGAACAAGAAACTAGAGATGTGGCGGGAACTGAACAGCAGCAGCCCCAGGCTACGTCTAATGAAGGGCATAATGACACAAATCCTAATCAATCTATGGAGCAAGATATGAGGACAGAAGCTGGGGAGACTATGACAAATAACCCATCCATGGAACACAGAGTTGAGTTCACTCATGAAGAAATGGAAGAAGGAAGAGTTTTACGGAACACAGATGGAGTGCAGATGACTTTTCAGGTTGAGCATAGGAATGATGATGATATGGGTGATGAAGATGATGAGGACATGGGGGATGATGGTGAGGATGATGATGAAGATGATGATGAAGACGAGGAGGAAGATGAGGACATAGCAGAAGAGGGTGCTGCTTTGATGTCACTAGCTGATACTGATGTGGAGGACCATGATGATAATGGTCTGGGAGATGAATACAATGATGATATGATTGATGAAGATGATGACGATTTTCATGAGAACCGTGTTATAGAAGTGAGGTGGAGGGAAGGTTTGGATGGTTTGGATCACTTGCAGGTTCTTGGGAGACCTGGAACTGCTAGTGGTCTTATACATGTTGCTGCAGAGCCTTTTCAGGGAGTAAATGTGGATGATATATTTGGACTTCGCAGGCCTTTTGGTGTTGAGCGCCGCCGTCAAACTGGCAATAGGTCTTTCCTTGAGCGACCTGGTTTAGATGGAAGTGGTTTTCAACACCCACTTCTCCTGAGGCCATCTCAGTCAGGGGATCCAGTTTCTTTATGGTCTTCTGCAGGGAACTCATCCAGAGATTTAGAAGCTTTATCGGCTGGAAGTTTTGATGTTGCTCACTTTTATATGTTTGATACTCCTGTTCTTCCATCTGAACATGCACCAACTACTCTGTTTGGTGACCGCTTTGTTGGTGCTGCGCCCCCTCCTTTAATTGATTTTTCACTAGGAATGGACCCTCTGCATTTAGTAGGACGAAGAGGGCCTGGTGATGGTCGGTGGACAGATGATGGCCAGCCCCAGCCAGGTGGTCAAGCTGCTGCAATTGCACAGGCAGTAGAAGAATTGTTCATCTCTCAATTTCGTAACGTTGCTCATGCAAGCAGTCCTCCAGCTCAGAGGTCATCAGATAACTCAGGGCTGCAGGAGAAGCAGCAATCAGATGTTCCACCATCAAATTGTGATAGTCCACCAATGATAGCCAGTGACATTGTTGGCAGTCAACAAAATGAAGCTCATCATCAAGAAATTGTGACTGAACCAGAACATACGGAGGATAATCCAACAAATGAAAGTAATTCTCATCCTTTTGTATCACATGGACAACCCAGGGGAGCACCAGTTGGTATAGAAGCAGGGGAAGGTGTTAGGGAGCAGGAATCCATGTCACAAAATCCTGATAGATCAAATGATATAACAAATAATAATGAAAGCATGGAAATTGGGGATAGCAATGGTTCTTCCTATGAGCAATTAGAAGCAAACCATGAGCTTGTTGTCACACCTGCTGAGTTACATAATGATCCTCAGTGTCAAGGTGGAGTCACAGTGCTAGAAAATTCCCATGATGCAGAACTCCAAAGTGCATATTGTGATGGGCCTTCAAGATCAAATAGCCACTCCAGTAATCATGCACTGGTTGATTCTGCTTCAGACATGCCTGATGCAGGACAAGGTCATACTTCCATTTGTACAAGTGCTGATATTGAGATGAATGGTACATACTGTGAGGGCAGTCAAACCGAGCATGGGCACCCTATGCCTGTTCCTGATGATGGTGCAGGTAGTCCATCAGCTGTTCAAAACACTATAGCTGTGCAAGATGCTAGCCAAGTCAATCAAACCAGCACCAATAATGAGTCTAATAGTGCAAACACTATTGATCCCACATTCTTGGAGGCACTACCTGAAGATCTGCGGGCAGAAGTTCTAGCTTCCCAACAAGCCCAGTCAGTGCAAGCTCCAACTTATGTACCACCTTCTGCAGATGATATTGACCCTGAGTTTTTAGCTGCACTTCCTCCAGATATCCAAGCAGAAGTTTTAGCACAACAGCGTGTACAAAGGGCTGTACAGTCTCAGCAAGCCGAAGGACAACCAGTTGACATGGATAATGCTTCAATTATAGCTACATTCCCTGCAGACTTGCGTGAGGAGGTTCATATTTTCTACTTTATCCTTCATTCTGTTCTCATTATTTCACTGATACCATACTGAATTCTAATTACTTTATCTTTGCTTTTTTTGCAGGTACTTTTGACTTCATCAGAAGCAGTTTTGTCAGCATTACCTTCCCCATTACTTGCTGAAGCTCAAATGCTTAGGGATAGAGCAATGAGCCATTATCAGGCTCGCAGCCTTTTTGGAAGTAGCCACAGACTTAGTGGTAGGAGGAACAGCTTGGGGTTTGATAGACAGACAGTAATGGACAGGGGAGTTGGAGTTACAATAGGTCGAAGGGCAGTTTCTGCCATTGCAGACAGCTTGAAGGTTAAGGAAGTTGAAGGTGCACCTCTTTTGGATGCCAATGCTTTAAAAGCATTGATTCGTCTTCTAAGGCTAGCACAGGTAATATTCTACTCTATCTTACTACATGGATGTTACTTGTGATTTTTGGAATTTCTTTTTAATTTATTTGGGTGGGTTAGAATATATTGCTGTGGGGTAAGCCCAATTAAGTGAATCAATGGTCCGCTTAAGTGGCACATCGAAGGTTCATATTGGATATATTTTCTAAAACGTACATTTTCTTTGGACAATTAGAGTAAAACATTGTAGCCTTAAAAATCTATTCACATATAGGTTGTATCTATTCACATATAGGTTGTATTTGGTTGCATGTAACATAAAGGATTTACTCTGAAATTGATATTCCATTAGAAAGTGAAATAATTTCCTAGTTCTTCTGGTTTTAGTTGTAACTTGGAAAACAGTTCTGGGTGGTTGAGCAGTTTGAATCAAGAGACCTGACACCCTCTTTTAAAAAAGCTATAAGGAATAACTTACAGAACAGTAGAAGGAATATCAATTGTCCTACAATTACAGAATTACTGTTCGTTTTTTTTTGATCAATAACACTTTCATTAATTCATCAGTAGAAAATTTACAAGTGGAAGACAAACACACTTATCTTCCAAGAGTCACAAAGAACTTCAAGAAAGGAAAGAAGAAAATACAAAGATACAAGGACACTAACATTACAACTTAGCCCAAAACAAGGAATCCCTTTCTGCCCCTTGTTTTGCTAAACCGTCA